TATTTCATATAATACACACTATTTTGACTGTTACATTACAAACATTGAAGTGTACGATGCTCTAAGAGTAACACAGACCAAAATTAGCACATGGTCCCTGTCCTCAAAAATTGAAAAATATTATGGAAATACCACAGACTTTGGAGCCAGCTTCCCAGATGAGAGTCCCCTCACTGAGGTTCCTTCCCAGGTTCCTCTCACTGTGGTGGTCACGTGGCCAGAGCAAAGCACCACAGCCAGGGAGACTCCGTGGCAGGCTCTTCTCTTCTTAGCTCTGGAGGCCAGAAGCCTGAGAGTTGAGCCCTAGCAGCAGCAGCCCCTGGGAAGGCTCTGTCCCTGGCTTGTGGACAATGTTCTTCTGGGTAGGTCCTCACACAGCCTCTTCTCTGTATGTCTGGGGCAGGAAGAGGATGCCCACCTTCTGGTGTCTCTTCCCCTTCTTTTTTTTCCCTTGGTTAATTTTCTAAACAGGGTCTCATCTTATACAGCCCAGGCTGACCTGGAACTTGCTATATAGTCAAGAATGACCTTGAACTCCTGATCCTCCTACCCCCACCTCCCAATGGACACTGCCACCACACCTAGCCTTTTCCTGTGCTAAAGAGGTGACAAGGGTAGTGGACCAATCCTGTGAGACCCAATCACCATAGACAGCCAGGGTTTCAAGACAGGACGTTTGGAATCGCACCACTGAGTCCACAGCACGGCACTGCCCGGGGTTCTTTCACCTCTCTCTGTCTAGTCTGCTCACCTGTAGACTAAAGATGGCTACAGCATCACTCAGGGGCTGTTGCAAGGATGAGATGGCTCCTGCATACAAAACGGGGCTCGTCTTCAAAGGGATGAAGCCACAGTTTACCTGAGTGACTACGGCGCAGGAATCTGGATCTAAGTTTCCGTGAATGGTATGTTCCACCATGGAAGTGGCTACAGGAACTTTAAAGAATGGAAGACAGTCATAAAGCAAAGCTCAGCCGGGCACACTGAGGGGGACAGTGGCCGGATGAGCACCAGCCAAACAGGGAAACCTCAGATGCCACCTGATAACGCTCTTAGCCTTTGAGTCAGTAGACTAGTGGCCTGCTGAGTGAATACATCCCCAAAGTTTTAACCTGATAACCACAAAGCTGTCAGGTCAATGAAGAGGCTGGCAATAACTGGCTGTTATAGGGACCGAGATAGCCTGAGATAATTTGGGTTTTTAGTCTACAATATTCCAACTCTCCGCAATCATGCAGTTCTTGCCAGGTGATCCTTCTCTAACATCTGCAGCCCAGACGTGGTGCCAGGAAGCATCAGCTCACAGCATCCGGTTCCTGGCAAACAGCAACATTCAGTAAACAACATTATTACTTAATTCAGTATTTAAATTATGAATGCACCAATTTCTTTCTCAAGAGTAGAGTACAGACATAGAATGTCTTTCCTCAGGTCATTTTTTAAGATATGCATTTCAATCTGTTTCTGCATAGTATAAGCCAGCCAGCACAGACCCCAGGTTAGAAAAAGCATGGTGTGCTTTGAAGGCATTGAGAGAGCACAGTGCGCATTAAAGGCACTGTGGAAGCTCCATGTGTGTAGCAGGGACTCTGAGCCCGAGCGTAACGCAGGAGTGGCTGTAGTTCATGACCAGGTTCAGCTGTGTTCACATCCTCGTGTTGGATTAGACTGCACTGCCCTGCTTCCAGCTGACACTGGGCTCAGTGTGTCACCAGTACCGTTCTCCCACAGCTGGCAGCCCAATGCTGGGACTCCAGCACAGTCATGCACAGCATCATAGACTGTGCTGATTGACAACAGCTCTTCCTGAGATGGGCAGGAGGGTGGAAGGAAAGGAAAACAGCCTGTCACATAGCCTGGTCTTTGAAGTGAAATGGCAAAGCGTCTGTACCGGAGTCCCTCTTCTTTCTGGGATGTCGGCAATGTGGGTCTGTTTTACATTATTCAGAAGTGGAGTGGTTTACTTTCCTGCGATCTCATTCTCTAGGCAGATTTGGTGCATTATTTGTCTGCTGCTGACACCTCTGGCTGTGCCCCAAGGGGCTCTCGCAGGATGGCTTTCATCATGTCACTATTCTACACACAGACCTCTCCCATTGTAACTTGTCACTGAATCTAAAATTAGAGCTTTGCCTGCTAAATTTAAATTATGCAGGGTCTGTCCCAGTGTTTTGCTACAGGTTCCTTAGCTACATGCCTGTGTGTTTTTGTGGCTCTGAGATGGAGTGAGCTTACACTGCTTACCCTTGTGGTTTTATTCAGAGATAAGTGGATACCCAAAGACGAGCTGTTTCCATGTACTTCTCTGGAACACTTGGGAAACTCACTAGGGACTCAGAGATGTTCTCCACAAAGAAATTGTAAGATTAAATAATTTTTAGAAAAATGAGGCTGGAGAGTTGGCTCAGTCAGTAAAGTGTTTCTTGCACAGGCATGAGGAACTGAACTCAATCCCCAGAAGTCATACAAAAAAATAAAATAAAAAGTCAGGCATGGCAGTGCATGCCTGTAATCCCAATGTGGGAGAAGTAGAGACAGGAAGATCCCTGTGGATTGCTGGCCAGCCAGTCTAGCAAAGTGAACTCCAGGCTCGGTGAGAAACCCTGCCTCAGAAGGTAAGAGGGAAATGTGGTACTTATGTTATTTCAACGCTTCCCTCTCCCCTGAAACTCCTAGCATGCTCCCACTCCGTCTCAAATTCTGACCTCTTTAATTATTGTTGTTGACATCCATATATATACACACACATACATGGACTTCTCTTGTTGACTGTCCATCTGATGTGACAGTCTAGCCTGCCTCTGCTGTACATCTGATACGAGAGTCTAGCCTGCCTCTGCTGTACATCTGATACGAGAGTCTAGCCTGCCTCTGCTGTACATCTGATGTGAGAGTCTAGCCTGCCTCTGCTGTACATCTGATGTGAGAGTCTAGCCTGCCTCTGCTGTACATCTGATGTGAGAGTCTAGCCTGCCTCTGCTGTACATCTGATGTGAGAGTCTAGCCTGCCTCTGCTGTACATCTGATGTGAGAGTCTAGCCTGCCTCTGCTGAGGGGAAGTTTGGTTCTCTTTTTGTTGTTTTCCCATCTTCGTTGATTTCCAGTCAGGTACAAAGAGTTGATAGGCAGTACTGCTGATCCTCTGTTGGTTTTTGAATGCAGGGACAGGATGATCCAAATTCAATGGTAATGAAGAAAGCCTGTGAAATGTGACTGGGTCTGCCTGGGCAGGTGTGAAAGGTGTACTCTCAGGGCTAAGCCTTCCCAGGCTGTGAGGATGGCACAGACCACACACTTTTGAATTACTTTGTTTTATTTGGTAATTAAACCATGATGTATTATAGAATGTAACATAATTGTTACCATAAAATGTACTCAGCACAAAATTATACTGTAGAAAAAATGTATTTTCTTTCATAGTTCTCTATACCAGCATCTATTTCTTCACATGGATTTATCACCCAGATTCCTTTTGTTTCCCTGGAGGACTCTCTTCCTGATCCCATGCAGTACAAAACTGCTAGCAATGACTCTTCTCCATTTCCCTTCATTGAATGTCTTCATTTCTCCTTCATTTTGTGAAGGACAGTTTTGCTGGGTATAAAATTCTTGGTTGACAATCTTTTTCTTTCAGTATTTTGAAAACTGTCTTCTCATTGCCTGTTGTAGAGTATCCATCAGAGAAGAATGCTCAGACATGGGTTTAAGCCAATAGAACATCTTTATTAGCCTACTGCTCACTACACTGGGTGTTCAGGATTCTAGTGTAGCACCAAGCCTTTCACAGGGTGAGCTTTTGAACACAGAAACTATATCCTGAGTTGACATACTTCACATGAACTGTTAGCCAGAAGCAGAACTACAGAAGCCAAAAAGCAAGGTTAGTACGTTTAGAGACTTTCCCAGAACTATAAATTTTGATGGATTAGGCCTTTGTTTTCATTCAGCAGGAGGTACTATCTAAGTGCTGCATTTTACAGCCTGAATGGCACTTCCATCTTGGCATCAGCTGTGCTAAGATCTAGGGGCCTGTTACATGCCTTTTGTTTTTATTTTGTTCATGGTTTTGCAAGAAATGTTTTTATTAATTTTTTGAGAATGTCATAAAATGTACTTAGATCATTTTCAGCACCAACTCCCCTCCTTACCTTCTCCCAGGCCCTCCCTACCCACCACCAATTCATGTCCTCTTTTTTTTTTAATAACCCATCAACTCAATTTATTATGTCCATTCCTTCTGCTTATGCAGCCATCCACTAGAATGTGATCAAACCACCAGGGGCAACTTCCTGGAAAAAAAACTAACTCTCCCTCACCCCAAAGCCATCAACTATCCAGAATCCTTCAGTCAGAGGTGGGAGCCCATGAACCCCTTTCCATCCCAAGCTAGGACATTAACCAGCTTGGTCTTGTGCAGTCAGCCACAGCTGCTGGGAGTGCATAGGTTTGACAGTCCTGTGATGTCCAGAAGATTCTGTCCCAGTCTTTCCTGAACCTCTGGCTCTTACAATCTTTCTGTCCCCTCTTCTGTAAAGGTCTCTGAGCCTTTGGGCGGGGGGTGGGGGGGTGCGACATAGATGCCCCTTTGGTGGCTGAACACTCTATGGTCACCTATTCTCTGCACTTTAACAAGTTATAAGTGTTTTAATTTGTTTTATTGATTAATGTCTGTATGCGTGTGTGGATAGATTTGTGTGGGGAGGATGCGCATGATACTATGTGTGGGAGGCAGTCAAGAGACAGCTTGATGGGGACAGTAATCTCCCACGTGTACATGAGATTTGGGGGCTTGAACTTAGTTTGCCAGTTTCAAAAAGTCCTGGAATTTCATGGCATATGTCTACACGGCGAAAGATATCTCCATAGCTGTCATCCTCTTATACAGGTCACAATACAGTATAAATGTCTGCACATAACAGCTGTGGTCAGGTCCCTGCGTCTCGTTGGCCTTGGAAAGCCCAAACTCCTGTATCCTAAAGCCCCTTTTCTCCTCTCCACAGGAATGACGTGCCAAGCTCGAAGCTCCTACATCACCAGTGAGATCTTGTGGGGTTACCGGTTCACTCCCGTCCTAACGCTGGAAGATGGGTTCTATGAAGTCGACTACAACAGCTTCCATGAGACCTATGAGACCAGCACCCCATCCCTTAGTGCCAAAGAGCTAGCCGAGCTGGCGAACAGGGCAGAGCTGCCCCTGAGTTGGTCTGTGTCCAGCAAACTGAACCAACATGCAGAACTGGAGACAGAGGAGGAAGAGAAGAACCCAGAAGAACAAACGGAGAGGAATGGTGATGTGGCAAACCTAGAGAATGAATCCAAAGTGTAGGCCCTGCCGGGTCAGCCTTTCCCTCCCACTCAGACAGGGCCCTTCCTTGTCTCTCATTCCCCTCTTTTTCTGTCTCTCTTACTTTGATCTTGATTGGTTTATATTTAATTTTGGCATTTCCAGAAAACAAATCTTCAAGGTGTAAAATGCCTACCTGCCCTCTCTCAGATGTTCAGACGGACAAGCAGACAGGGATTTGGTCATGGTACAGGTCCCTTCATTTGTGGCCCAGGCCTGGTCTCCACCCACGGGAGAGACTTAGCCACTTACCCACGTCATTATCCAACACCAATCACTCAAAAGAGCTGTCAGGGATTTTACCCAGTGTCACAAAGGTCACCTGCTTGCCGTGGCCATAGGTCACACAGAATAGTCTCTTTGGTTTTATAGGGCCCACCCAGCACAGGGCAGGCTCTTGCCCACACAGACACTGAGGGTGCAGGACCCAGGTGAGCTAAGGATAGACCACTGTACATAGATCTGCCCTATGGAATTATTTTCTTTTGGCAATTAGTAACAAAACTCAGCATGCACAAAAGTACTGTGGAGCAGAACTCCTGGTAATGTACATAGATGTATCATTCATGTAGCTTTAGACATATAACTTTAGAAATAAGAAAAAAAGATTCCCAATGTACAGTGGGTATTTCTATTTTGTTACCTTGTCTTTTGATTATTTTGATCTCCTTGACTGCTGGCCCCCTAAATGCATGGCCTTTGTTCCAGGCCCCAGGCTGACAGTTGCTAGGGTGCCATTCTGTCCCCTTGTGATCCTTCTGTTGAATCTAATAAGCCATAGGTCTGGGAACAGTCCAGAGGTCTAATAGATGGCACGATCCACCATCCAAAATGCTGATATACTGTGACACATTTACCAAATGGATGCCATTTGTTTATAGACAACAAAGGTCTCTCTGACTAGCCTGGGGGACTAGGAACAGAACTCTAGCGCGGCCCCACATGTCCCTTCCCATGAACTCTAGCCCTTTGGAGTACAGCAGTTTAAGAACTTTTCTGTAAATCCATTGATTGCTCTTCTATGTCGTCTTCTATGAGAAGCTGCAGGCTTTTCATGTGGGCCATGGCAAGTCAGCAGGCGAGGACTTGGGTGTGAAGCCACGGCTCTCAGGAAGGCATGCAGCGGATGAGATGACAGTATTCATCACCAGCTCCCTGCCCTCCAACTTCATCCGGCATGCCTGTCCCTGGGACCTGGCCTTACCATTTCTTACACTGGTTTTTTTTTTTAATCTTCTATCATCATGGTTGTTGTTATTATTATGAAATGACCAGAATTTGGCATACAAAGAGTAGATAACCATCTTTGTGGCAAATCCCTCCAGAGTGTGAGAGCATTCCACTTTTTGAAATCTAATCCAAGCGTCTCTCAACCAAAAGAGCACAGACATCAACAACAATCAAACCTCATTTTGATCTTCAAAGAAGGAAGGAATGAACGAACAAAGGAAGGCAGGCAACATGTGTAATAATCTAAATTCAAAAGGAAATGAAAAGTAAGCCTGGAAAGAGAATCTTGAACGAGACGTCAGGCAGGCGGAGATTTTGCACAGTAACCGATCTTTCTCGTTGATTTTACATTTATAAACTGTTTGTCTTGAACACCATCGCCCACCACAAATATGCATCGAAGGGATCTAAACTGACTTCAGCTCCTACAGATAGATGTGCTCAGTGTGAGACTTTGCACCATGGAGGTCAAAGAGGTCAAACTAGCTGTTCCCCTGTCTCCCTGGCCACCCCTGACCAGACTGCACAGGGCTTTGCTGTAGTCTCGGTTCCTTGTCTATAAGACAGATGCCCCAGGAATTATGGGAAGTGGTTCCTCCATCCAACATCTGGATTGCTCCTCTCCCTCTGCAGGAATCTTGCCACCCAAACAACCATTTCCTGGCGCTGACTCTGGAACACAAAGCTATTGGCTGTGGCCCTTCCCTGCCTGCCAGCATTTCCTTTTGGCATTGGTTATTTATCAGATGAGCCAAGATTCACTCTGCACAGTCTAAGCAGGAGATGGTGGAGGAGAGAGCCTGACACAATTCCCAAGAGCCTGTGGGAGGTCCCACAGCCTGACCTTGTTTTAGCCTTATGAAAGATGCTCTGCTTCGGGGCACCAATCTGCAGCAGCCCAGGGCAGGGCCAGTGTAGCACAAAGAAGATGGCGAAAACATGCCAAATGTCTACTGACTTAGCTCTTGAAGACTCACTGGGCCTTTTTAAATCTGTTACTGAGGTTTGAAGGACAAAAGATTCCCTATTGATGGGTTGAAAGAGCCGCTTTGAAGCTGATGGCTTCTTGCCTGCTCTTCGGCACACCTGGACAATAGGCCTGTGTGACCTCTGCAGGGCGCTCTGATGGGAGGTCTCTCTCTGCCTCTCATGGTCTTGATGTCACTGTGGTTGGTGATGGAAGTGGAAGAAAATCCTGTGTGTAACACGAGCTCAGACTCTTAAGAGGCGGGCGCTCCTGAAGGACCTTATATTAGAATGTCCTTATCAAATGTGTCTATTTTTCTACAGTCACTGAGAAAATGGTTTAACAGTGTATTTTGTGTCTACTGTTAAAATTTGAAAGAAGGTCATTAGGACTGAATTTTCTAAGCAGCAAGTAGTAAATGGGGTTTTTCATTAAGATAATTCAACAAAAGGGACCCCCAACACCTCCCCTTTCTAGTCCACAATCCCAGTCCCTCTCTCCACCAACAGACCAAGTGCTAGGAAAATACATAAGCCTATTAATGCATCAATTGATCCATAACCAGTAGATCTCTCTCTCTCTCTCTCTCTCTCTCTCTCTCTCTCTCTCTCTCTCTCTCTCTCTCTCTCTCTTCCTCCTTGCCTCTCTCACTCCACCCTTCTTAGCCCTTGATATTTTTTTGGCTACTTAGTTGGTGTCTCCAAGTCATTTTTTCCCATAAAGCACAGTGAGATCCATGGGCTGGATAAGATCCTGGAACTCAGAGGCAACAGTTGCCATAGTTGACCCCAATCTGACAGAGTAAATGAGCTCCCTGGGGTTTGTCTGGAAGGGAGGTGCTGAAGAGATCCTGGAACTCCTCAATCTACTGACCACGCCCCTCCCCATTAACTTTGCAATAGGAAGAGTGTTTATACATTTACAGATTGACTTTATGTAACAAACAGCTGTTTCCACCAGTCCCCAGGGCACACAGCACGCCTGTGCTAACACATTAGAATCAGTTCATCCTTTTCAGGTCCTTCTGAACATCATGTTGGGATATGGTCGTGACTCCATGCCCATGAGGTAGAACCCTCTCTTTTGTTCTGTCTCTATTTCAAACCTACTGATTTAATTTAGTGTCTAAGTTTCCTAACAGAGATCTAGCTACTGTATCAAAATGCCGACCTATTTCTTAAGCACAACTTTTCTCTCACAGGTTTAACCAAGATAGGACTCGGACATGCCTTTTTTTTTTTTCATTATACTCTAATTTAAATTTAAGTGTGGCTTCATTTTGAAGCCTAGATGTTCACAATTCTTGCTTTCTTCCCCAACCTGTTTGCTTTTCTGTCTGAATTTAAGATGGTATCTTTGGAGTGTTTGGAGACTGTTAGACCGAGGTGTACGACAGGGAGAGCAAGAATGCTTTGGAAGATTCCGTGAGCACGCTGAAAAAACACCAGATCCTTTAGCTCAGAGAAACCATGAAAACATACAGAGTCAATCACTACTGAGACAACTTGCTGAGAGTCCACTTTGCATTTCTTTCCCTGACTTCAGAAATGCTCCAAACGACACAAAAGCCGGGAAGGCAGCTCCAAGGAAATGACCCCCCACGTGACCAGCATTACGATGACACTCATTGCTATGACTTCAACTCAATGGATAGCTGTGAAGTTGGAAAACATAAGCAAAATTGACATAATAGATTGATTTAAATTACAACACAGCTAAAAAACATTATCTTGAGTTAGAGTTTATGTCCAACCTATATTTAAGAAAATGTCACCTTGTAATTCAGAGTAGAGGGAAACATTCCTCTTCCCAATATGTCTACCCTCAATGTCTCAGAGGAGACTTTTTATTCAAAATGTCATATAGAAGTCAAGACTGTTGGAAGGTTGCTAAGGGACTTGGACAATGTGTACAGTTTTGACAGTGCATACCTAAAAACAAAACAATATTTTACCTGACATTGTACAGTAAATTCAGAACACTCCCACAAATCATCTCATGGAACTCTAATGCACAAGAGGCTGAGCACTATAATCACCATAATTGGTGATGTAGAGTTTGGGCAAACTGAGTAATTTCACCAAAGCTTCAGGACAATAAATGATAGATCCTGGTCTCAAACCCAAGTCATGAGGCTATAAACATGGGATGTTTTTATTATGAAAAGGTTTGGCACACCAATATGCTGAGAGTCTAACCTATTATACTCTTTCAAGTTAACACTTACAAGTATAATTTTTATACTTACAAATGGTTGGGAGAAAAACCAAAAATATTTGGGGGACATATAAAATTCAAATCTCAGGGGCCAGGGATGCAATTTGATTGGTAAAGGGCTTCCCTAGTTTGCACAAAGCCCCAGGTTTGGTCCCTAGTACTGCATAAGGAGAGCATGTTAGCACACACCTATTATAGCATTTTGGAAGTAGAGGCAGGAAGATCAGAAGATCAAGGTCATACTCACTACATAGAGAGTTTGGGACTAGCCTGAACTACATGAGACCTTGTCTCAAAAGAAAATGATAATTCAAATCTTGGTCCATATGTAGTTTCATTGGAACACAGCATATCATTGGTGCATGCATTGCCTGTGGCTGCTCTGACTTGTGAGGAGAGCTGAGTAACTGCAAGAGAGATTGTATGGCTGGCAAACATCTGTGCTATTACTAAATAATACTAGTCATTTGGGATGTAGCAGTACTTTTGAGAATTATACTGTTCACATAGGTTTGGGGGAACATCAGAGAATGATCTCCTTTCCCAGCCCAAACCTCCCGGGGTCACTTACAGATCTGTACCAGGAAAACGTGTTGTGGTTTTTGAGAGTAGGTCATATAGTCAGGGCGCTCAGAGAGAAGGCTTCCTTTTCCTACGTAGGCTTCTGGGATTCAGCATCCATGTAGGAAATGGCAGAGTAGAACCACTCATTAATGGACAATAAAGAAATGAAAGTTCCTGGCCCATCGATGGAATTATGACTTCTCTGGTGCCGTGGGCCTTAAACTCAGCAGACTGTTCAGCCCACTGGTGTCTGCTCAGGTGCAGGTGCCAGCTTGGAGAAGGACTGGCCGCTGAGGGGCCTCGTGCTCTTGCTGGTCCCTGTAGTCTGGAACTCAGGATGACTCAGTGTGGTGAAAAGGATCCTGGGACCACTGTCAGTCAGTATTTCTCTACTCTGGCCCTGACCTTCTCTGGCCCCTTGGCTAGAAGTTCAACATGCAGATGACCACCTGTCCTTCTCTGGGAACTCAGGAGGTCTCTGCAAGCCTGAGGGGAGCAGAAGGGTGGGACAAGGTTATCAGATCACTGGTAATTGCAAAGCAGAAGAATCCCAGTGATGGGAATTTTAGATATGGCAATATTAAATGGCATTGTTTGGAGTCACAAATTTGATTTACTTTAGTTTTAAGGAAATATTTCTCATACCAATCAGCCAAATTTGGTTCTTTATCGTATCAGTTCTATTTAAAAAAAAAAAAAAAAGAGAGAGCATACATATCGAGTTCTCTTATGAATGCTTCCTAGAAAATTACATGGGAAAGAAACTATTTTGTGACAAATCATTGTATGTTGTGTTTCTGACAGACAAATGATAGATGTGTTCCCACATGCCAAACTAAGTAGGTAATGGTATCTGCCACAGAGACCATGCAGAAGTCTTTAATTCTTCAACCACTTGGAAGAAATGACCAGGTCACACAGTCTCAAAGTCCAACATCATGAAACTTAAATAAATGTAAAAGGAGCCAAACTTCTACTTGGCCTCATTGCCTTAGCAAAAGAAAGCTTCGTGCACCCACCCAATTCATGTGGGGCAGCCCAAGGAGAAGGAAGGTGATGCTTTTGAGATATACAAGATTAGTTCACGGGTGGACTCCTCTGGCGGAAAAGGGAGGGTTGGCCGTTGATGAAATGTATCTATCTTGTTCTTTTAGACCCTCTTCCCCCAGACTTGGATCCAGGTGTGTGTGTGGTTGGCAGATAACAATGGCCACAGAGTCAACAGGTATCAGCTTCAGAGGTAGACAGGTCCCCTCCTATTCACGTGTAATTGACCACCTCAAGATCAAGGCTCAGCACCCATCATGAAAACTGTGATATCAATGTAGCCAATCTTTATAAGAATATGAAGGGCTGTTTTTCTCAGGCAATGTAAATATCTGCTACCAAGAAGCACTAGTGAAATGAACATGCCAACCATCAGAGCTTCTGAAATTTAAACAGCACTCATAGTACGTTCACCCAAAGGAATGAGAGGCTCCTAAGACATTCCAGGAGTCTAAGAGCAGACCCAAGTTGAGGCTGAAAGCCCTTCAGAGCCAGCCAGTGCTAGATTTATGGTCATGAAATACAAATAGCATATTGACTGGAGCTAGGGCCTCAGATCCCAGTCAGTATACACCATCTAAACCTCTGGGTCTTCAATCAGAGTTTTCAGAGAAGGAAGGACACTGTCTTCAGCTCCACCCTCTCTTAGTACCTCTGCCTGTGAGAGTGACAATGAACACCCTCCCCTGCTCAACTTGGACAGGCCACGAGACTCACCGTGCCCACCTGCTGAGGCCCCTCAGAATGAGTATCTGCACAAAGGAGTTGCTTCTTGCACATCTAGACAATGACCCCATAGAAGTGTCTTCTGAGGACACTTGGAGATTTTAAGGATACCTGGGAGGCATCCTTGACTCCATAGAGCACCTCCTGAGTCAGGAATGAACTTAGACCTTTGGAATCTGCCAGGTGCCAGGGAACCCTGCCCATATGTAAATCCAGTAAAGCAAAAATGAAGTAAGCAAGCAGAAGGAAATCCCCAGAAGTTCTGATTTCACCATAATGATTATCTCCATGATATTTTGACTTTCTTTTTTCATTAGGTATCCAATTCTTCATACTTGAGAAAATCTCACATTGGGGCCTCACGATGCAGGGAGGACAGGAAATCAGTCACTTAGGACATTACAGTTAACTTTCTGAGTAGTGGAACCTGTCCCGTCTTTCTAAGCAAGTCTCAGAGAAGTCCCACTAGAACCCGCCTTACAACCAATACGAATCCCATTCATGTCAAAGAATCCACAAACCTTTCTCTAACAGCTGCCACAGGAGGATAGCTGTTTAATTTAATGCTTGAGCAGCCACCACGTATAGCTTGTTATCTGGCCGTCCTACCTCTTACCACTAACTCTCCACTGCCGACTGTATTGGAGTCTGACCTCCAAGATAAAGTATTTAGAATAGTTTGCTTCTACCATTAGATACCCTGAGCTTACTACTGGTGTCTGCACATCTTTGATCCCAGCCCAACAAATGACCAGAGTGGGGTCAAGTGAGGTCTCGTGCTGAAGGGACAGATGTGCTCGCCTGGTTGGGTCTTTCGGTCTTTCCATCATTTGCAGCATATGATTATCTAGACAGCTTTCCCAAGAAAGTCCTGGGTATCTTTATTCAGCCCAGCATGCCTCCTCTAAAATCAGAGGCATGCCATGACAACAGAATTCATAGGCACAAGTTCTGAAGTGACCCAAAAATGTGCCTGGATTGGCAAAGTGGTCTTTTCTCTGCCCACAGTCTGTACAAACTGTGCTCTAGGGGAAACACCCAGCACTCTGGGATGACTGCTGCTCAGGAGGTGTTGTTCAGCCGCTGCCATGGCAACCCTCCATCTGTGAGCATGGACCACTCTTGTGCAGGCTGGAGGAGGTTTGGAGGAGGTCCCAGGGGCTGAAACTCTGAGGGCTGATCCACCTGCAGACAGCCTTGGGGGAGCCCAGAGAAATGAGAGTCGGGCCCGATAAATGTGTACTCACTTAGCACACAAGTGTGGGGTGGTCTTGTTGCATCTTACCACAGTGTGCACATAGTGGCTGTGTGTGTGTGTGTGTGTGTGTATACTGTAGGAAGGAATGCACACACACACACACACACACACACACACACACACACACACACACACCACTTACCTTTTTAAAATTCCAGAAACTACATTCACAGTATCCAATGTAACAGATGTCCAAAGAATTGTCATTCTCTTAATCAATAGTTAAACACTGTCTGCCAAATTAATACTGGCCCAAAACAAATAATGTTTCAATAGTAAGCCCAAATACAAGCAAAAGCAATAGAAAACCTTATTCAGATTTGCTGGGTATAGTGGGGTACGTTTGTCGTCTCAGCACTTAGGAGACAGGGGGAGGAAGAGCAGGAGTGGAAGGTCATCTGTAACTACATAGGGAGTTCAAGGCCAGCCTGAGCTACGTGAGATCTAACCTCAATAAATACATAGACATAGTTTGTTGTTGAAAATCTTATTTCAAGTTAAAGATACTCATTTTTATCCAGAATTCCGAGCTCTTAGAATACTATTTCTTCTTGCGCTTACCGTTTCCATCCGGCTTTGAACCCGGCTCCTGCATATTGACACGCAAAAGTAGACCTGAGCGCCGAAGCGTTCAGCACGCGAGTCAGTCTGGCCCCTAGAGCAGGCTGAAAGAAAGTCAGCAGGGTGAGGACGATTCCACAGCAATCTCAGAGGGCAAGGAAAGGAGACTGGAATGTGGCAGTGCTTAAGATGAGGGAGGTGTGGAGTGACATTTGTATTCAGATCTCTGATGCATGCCCATGCAGCTGACTTCAGCACCCAGGGCTCTCCTAGTGAGCTGCTATATCCTCAGAGACAGTAGAGGATAAATGAGAATCTCCACAACCCAGACCATCACCCATAGGACTTGCTCCCATCTGGTTTTCTAGCTCTGTTAAAATAGGCATCAAGGCTCGTTAACACACGATCCCTCCTATTTACAACTCTCCCTGTGTCTGCCCCTGTTCTAAAGGAATGAAGAACCCTCTGGATGCTACACAGTGTGGTGAGACCTTCATAACTAACACTCAAACTGGAAAATATATAACAGCCACTCCTAAACACATGTGCAGAAATGCATGCACACACATAGACCATAGTCTTATACCTCCCAATCAGCTATGACCAAGTCCACCTAAGTTTCCAGAAGATGGGGCTGAAGATACAGCTCATCAGCTAAGAGTACTTACTGCTCTTGTGGAGGAGGCCAAGTTTGGTCCAGGACCACATCAGGCACCTCACAACTACCTGTAACTCCAGCTTCAGGAGAATGTAACACTTCTGACCTCTGCAGGCAACTGTACCCATGTTCTCAAACACACACACACACACACACACACACACACACACACACACACACACACACACACACTTTAAAATAATAAAAGTAAAATCTAAAAGAAAAGGTTTCTGGAAGTCGAAACATGAATGAGGACCACCCTCTCAAGTCATCACAGTGGCGTTAGCTTTTAAATGATCTTACACATCGCTGACCCACACATAGGCAATGGGCCATAAGAACCCATCATCAGTGTTCTGTTGGAGATTGGGAGCCTGGTCCTGGGTCTGCCCCCACCCCCGCTCCCTGTCATGAACTATGTGGTCTTAGATAAATCCCTGAACCGCTCCCAATGTTTTTTAAGCGATAAGTTATAACTTTTAAGGACATTTTAAGTTCACAGAAAAATTAAGCAGAAAGCACAAAGCCCCCATATGTCCCATGCCCTCCTATCCTCCTTCATTACTGACAGACATACCACTGTGTATTTGTCACTGTTTGTGAATTTACCCCGATGCACCCTTATCACCTACATTTGGAGGTGAAGTTAGGGCTCACTCTTGTCCATGAACATGGAATGTGTGATCAACTGTGTAAGGGCAGGCTCCCACCGTTGTGGTACCATACAGAGCAGGTTGGCCACCCCACAATTCTCTGTAGCCCTCACCCCTTCCTAATGCCTTTGGCTCCTTCTCAGTCCGGGCAGCTCGGCCCCTTCCGTAGACTGTGGCTGTGGTCGCCCAGTGGAAAGCCTACCGAGGCTGTATTCTTTCACTTGGTAGTACACTCTTAAAGTTCCCCCCGTGGCCCCTCATGGCTTCATAGCTCTTCATTCTTCAGCACTGAGCAATATTCCATTTTCTGGACACAACAGAATTCATTTGACCATTTGCCTTTTTAGAGATAAAACTTCTAAAAGCATCTGTGTGTAGTTTTTACATGGAAATAAGCTTTCAGGTCATTTGTGCAAACATCAGGAATTATGATTGCTGTGTTACATGGTGAGACATTTCCCTTGTAAGCTGGTATGCTGTCTTCCCTGGTGGCTGTACTATTTTTTTTTCATTCTTCTAGGAATGAGTGAGCACTCTGATTGCTCCTGCTGGTGTTTGATGGTGTCAGTGATTTGGATTTGTGCCCTTGTTACAGGTGTGTCATGGTATCTTATGGCTGTGTACCATGCCAGTCACGATGGCATCAAACACCTTCTCAGATACTTCTGTCTGTAGATTGTCACATTGGAGCATCTCTGCTCAGGTCTTTTGTCCACTCTGTAGGTGGGCGTTCATTTCCCTATTCTTGAACTGCAAAGTCTCTTTGTATATTTTGGATCCTTGTTCTTCGTTCGCTGGGACTTTTGCAAATACTTCCTCCCTGCTGGCCATTCTCTGAGAGTGTCTTTTGCCCTGCAGAAGGTTCTTATTTCAGTGAAGTCCAGCCTGGCAATCATCTCTCATGGATGTACCTTTGGAGCTGTATCTAGGAAGCTGTCATCATCCCCAAATCCAGACTATCTCTCCTATCTCCTGGGAGCTTTGTTATTTTATCTTTTCCCCAGATCTATGATGGCTGTGAAGTGATGTTTTGTGACTGATGTGAAGTTTGTGTTCAGGTTCTTTTTTATCTTGTTTTTAGTGTGTCTAATACCTCTAGTATCATTTGCTGAAACAGCACCCTTTGCTCCTTTGTCAAAAAGCAACCTGTGTCCTGCACAGGCCGATCACTGTGATTTATGTGGACTGCTTCTGGGCTCTCTAATCAGGTCCTTCATCTGCCCACCAACTCTTTGACCAATAGCACACCGTCTCTAGTGATGGGACTGGTTGACTACTGTCTTAGCATTTGGTAGCATCAGTCCTCTGTCTTTGCATTGTTTCTTCGGTATCAAATGATCCATTTGTCTATTCTGGGTCTTTTGTTTCTCATATAAACTTTAGAGCACTGATCCACAGAGTAATCTGCTTGACTTTGGATTGGTATCGTATTGACTCTAAAGATGAAGATAGAGAGAAAACACCTTGACAGTGCTGGTTTTGTTCACTTACCTATGTCTTCAGTATCTTCACCCCTTATATCTTCCTCACACATATCTTATACATAGCCTATGAGGCATATACCCAAGTATTTCATTTCAAGGGTGCTAATTTAGATGCTCATATTTTTTTATTCCAGATTCTAATTGCTCATTGCTGGTATATAAGAAAGCAGTTGGCTTTTGTATACTAATTTGTGTCCAAAATCTTTATGTAATTAATTTTTTAAATCTTGGTTTTGCTGGGGGAGGGATGCATGCCTTTAATCCCAGCACTTGGGAGGCAGAGGCAGGTGGATCTCTGTGAGTTCGAGGACAGCCTGGTTTACAAGGCAGTTCCAGGACAGCCAGGGCTACACAGAGAAACCCTGTCTTGAAAAGAACAGAAAAAACAATCTTGGTTTTGCTGTCAGTTATAGATTTTCTAGAGGTGAGCTATCATCTATAAATGACAACTACTTCTTCCCTTCCGACCTGATATCTTTTATTAACTTTTCTTGTCTTATTGCACCATCTGACATCTAGAATCATGTTAAAAAGCAGTGGTGCCTGTTCTGGGTCTGAACAGAAAACAAGTTTCTGTCAGTTAAGTGAAATGAACCAAAGGGAAGTTTTAAATACTGCTCCTCTAGTTCAAGAAATGTCAAAAATAAACAAATAGTTAAAAATAAAAAATAAATGTCCCTCTAGCCATACTTTACAGAGAACCTTTTGTTATTTACAACAGTTTTATTAATAACTGCAAAGGGCTTAGAGGCCAAGATGTACTCTTGGGATAAGCGAATAAACAAGCATCTATCTAAACAATGAATCATTCCATAATTGAAAAAACAATCCACAAAATCACGGAACAACATAGAATAGCTTAAGTGCAAATTATTAAGTTAAAACAATCTAAAAAGACCACGATACTGTGTGATTTCAGATATCTGATACTTACTAAGGAATTTCATAGTGGATCACAGTTTGGGTTTGATCAAATTCTCCCTCTGCGTCTACCAATAGTAGCATAAATAATTTGTATTACTCTGCCCACTAATGTGGATTACAGGCGTTTATTTTTGAATGTTGAACTACTTTTCTTATCTGGCATAAATCCCACTTGGTCATAGTACATAATTCTTTTTATGCATTGTTTGATTCAATTTGTGCGTGGTTTGTGGTTGAGGCTATTTGGATCTGTGTTCATAGGAGCTATTGATCTGTAGTTTTCATTTACTGAAGTATCTTTTCCTCATTTGTTCTTAGGGTGACGCTGGACTCCTAGTGTGGATTGAGAAGTATTTCTTCTAATTACATCCTCTGAAAGAGATTACAGAGAATTGATATATTTTCCTCCTTAACCACTTGGAAGAATCCACCCAGAATGAGCCCATCTGGACCTAGTGCTTTCTGGTTGGAAAGGTCATGAATAATTTACTTAAAGTCGGGGCTGGAGAGATGACTCAGCGGTTAAGATTGCTTGTTGTTCTTGCGAGGGCCTGGGTTCAGTTCCCAGTGCCCACACGGTGGCTCACAAGCACCTATAACTCCAGTTCCAAGGGACCTGGCACCTTCTTCTGGCTTCCACGGGCTGCTGCATGTGTGTGGTGCACATAAACTCATGCAGGCATTCATGCTCATCCACATAAATAAAAATAAACAAAACTTTAAGTCTCTAATGTACAGACCTTTGGGGTTATCTATTTCTCTAATGTGAGTTTTGCCAGACTGTATGTTTCCTGTAATGAGTCTCCTTCACACCAACAGCGAAGTGTGGATGCATCCTCTGGTGTCCTTCCATGTCCGTAGGGTCTGTAGTTATACTGCTCCCTTCCATCCCTTTCCGCAGTGGTTTCTAGTTCTCTCTCTCTCTCTCTCTCTCTCTCTCTCTCTCTCTCTCTCTCTCTCTCTCTCTCCCTGCTCAGACAGAAATTTAATAATTTTGTTTTATCTCAAAGAACTAGTCCTTGGTTCCGTTGATTCTCCGTTGACTTCCTGTTTTCAGTTTCGTCAGTGTGTACCCTCTTATTTCCTCGCTGGCTTTGGACTGAATCACTCCCGTGACGTAGAGGACTGGTTTCAGGTTTCTGCTCTGCTTGATGCACTGGATGTATAAAGCTTTGCTCAGGCTCTATTTTCACTTCATGTCTAAAATCGTCATTTCATCTTCACTGGGTTCAAGGTATTTTTTTTTTTTAATTTCTCTCGAGGTTTTTTTCTGCACCCCATGTTACTGAGAATTGTGCTGTTTAATCGTAAAGTGTTTAAAGATTTCCCAGGTCTCTTTCTATTATTGATTTCCAGCTTAACTCTACTGTGTTCTGAAAGGAACACTATAGAATTTTTATGGTTTTAACGTGTTAAGGTGTTCTAACGGCCCAGGGTGAAGTGTCCCGATGAATGTTCTCTGTGGCCTTGAGAAGAGTCTGTCACCTGATGTTCAACTCCTCATTTTTCCAGCATGTGTTTGACTCTACAGTCTCTGTCTCTACGATTCTGACATGAGTTCCTAGTTACACCCTGTCCGTCTAAGTCAACATCACTCTTAAACTCCTGGTCCCTGAGTCAGCTTTTAACTTTGTAAGTTCTTCCTACTTCTGTCCCCAGCACTCCTTCACCAGCCACATCCCTCTCGCATCTCCACACTAACCCGGGGAGCAGACAGGTAATTATGAGGTAGGCACTTTGTAGGGCACTGTGGCCTCCACCAAAGAAGAGAAATACTTCAAGGAAGGTTAGCATCATCAACGTAGAATAAACACACAGCTGCATATTAAATGAGAAAGTCACCCAGGGGATGGAAGAGGCAGCTCAGCTTTTAAGGACATTTGCTGCTCTCGCAGAGGACCAGAGCTTGGGTCCAGGCACCTGTGTCAGGAGGCCCACACCCACCTGGAACTCCACCTTTTGGGTACCTGATGCTCCTGAACACACATGTACATTCTAACACAAACAGATTCCCATAAATAAAGATAATTTTTAAGTAACTCAATACCAGCATGTAATGACTGATTTCAACACAACTCCAGCTCTGCACCGCTGGAAACATGCATGTGGGGACTTCACCAGAATTGTGTTGATACTAAACCACACACAAAACACAGGAGAAGCCAAGGCAACATGTTCGAGAGCTCCGCTCTATTTCAGCTGTAACTCTCGTTGACAGCACTGCTTTTTCCCACCACGTTTTTTTGCCCAAAGCAGAAAGAAGAAATCCTTTTCATTATTGGTTAGAAAATAATGACTTGTATCTCTTTCCCAGATGCTTGCCTGCCTGAGTAAAATAAGAGGTTTCTCTGTGAGCTAGGATAGGAAAGTTATTCTGGAAAGTCCACTAGTTCAGAAGTCCATTATCAGTGCCAAATCCTTTTCTCACAGTTCAATGAAACTGAGGACAAGACTGAGTCTCTGGTCTAGAGGTATTGCACTTCCATGAACCATAAACCTCTCACCAAACGCTCACACAGACTTATCAAGACAAAGTCAAGGAGCCCTGGAACTGGGCCTTGAAGCTGAGGTGTCCTGAGGTCCTCACTGGAATCCATTTCCAAGGAACACAAAGTGCTGGAGCTGTGACTCAGCAGTTGAGAATGCACTTCCAGAGGATTCAAGGTTGCTGCCCAGCATCCAGGCAGGGCAGCTCACAACTACCTTCAGCTCCAGAGGATTAGAACCCTCTTCTGACATTTTCAGGCACCCACACGAGTGGTATTAAACTCACACAGACATGCACACATATACATAAATTTAAATTAAATTTTAAAATGTTTTAAACAAACATAACCTCCCCCAGAAAAACTAGAAACACAAACAGACTTAGTTTTCACCTCTGTCTCCAGAAACTTTCCTAAGAACTTGAGTTTTTACTAACATGCTTATGTCCTACAGACAAAGGTTTTCATTTTCAGGTGTGTGGCAGTCTTCAAGGCTGAGAGCATGCCAAAACTTATTTTTGTTCTAAAAGATTCAGCAGCTAATTCATGCTAGACAAGGGCAAGGCTCTATGAAGGCATTCTGGTCATGGACACATAGTGAGTGCTTACTGTCCAGTGAGCAATGTCTTAAGCAAGGTACCCTGGGGGATACTAATAAATAGTAACACCTTCCATTGTCCCCAACAAGCTACTACCCCATGGCCACAACCTCTTACTGTGTGGCAACACAAACCCCTGTGAGCAAATACTGATCCCCATATTACACATGAAGAAAGTGAGTCTAGTTTTAGGAATAAAAATATTTAATCCAGAGGGGCAGCTAGACCACATTGACTGGAATTTGAAGACAAGCCAGCCTCTCTATGGGCAGTAAGCAACAGTATCGTGTGGCAGGAAGGGATGCATCTTGATATTCCTTGCGCCTTGGTGGGCTTTGGAAGTGAGAGATCCAGGGGAAAGATGTGTCATGAGGGGCCAGATTGAGACATACAGACATGCTGCAGGAGCCAGGGGACAGTACCTAGGCTGGCCGACACAGAGTAGACGACTTCCCAGGGGATTTGATAAAAATACATTGTGAAAACTGGTGCTAAATCGTAGACCACTCTGAACTGGAGGTGGAGGGCCACAGGTGGGCTTCTTAATAAAGCCATCACAGCGTCAAAATAGCTCCTGACGCTTTACGGTTGAACAAAAGGACAGTTTGCACTGAACTGAAGCAGGATGCCCTTGACACAATCGTCAAGCACTCCCAAATAATTCAGTGAATCTGTGGGTGGAAAAAATAGGAAAAAGTGGCATTTCTGTGGCATGTCATAGTAAATTGTAAGCCCAGCAAAATCATATGCAGAGAATACTGGAACACCCCTGTAGCTTTCCTTAAGCAAAAGCCAATGATCTTTTAGAGACGCACAGAAAAACACAGGGAGAAAAATCTTCCCAAAAAAACTCCCGTGAAGGCTTCAACTTTTCTTCGCAGTAAAGTAGCTGATATCTGCTTCTGAGGTCATTGTTGCCAACCTCCCGCCAGGCTTTTGAAAAGTGAGCCGGGCAGACCTCAGGCCCCGGTTTGGCTCCTGACCCACTTCCATCCTTCAGTAACTCCTGTCACTCAACTCCAAGTACGTCTGCGCACGGACAACGAGGCGAAAGCATGTCAACTGCGAAAGCACAAATTATGTATTGAGAAATCTCTACAATGCCAAATTTTTTTAGAATAAATGAATATATATATTTAAGAACTCGCTGTGTTAGGGAAACTGTTTACATACTGAGGCGTTCCTCTTTTTTTGACTGGAACAATAAAAGAATAATTTGATATGGCCTTAGTTTCTTTTAGATATATGTATATGTATTATGTGTGTATGTGTTTGTGTGTATATGTATGTATATGTGTGTGTGTGTGTGTGTGTGTGTGTGTGTGTGTGTGTGTGTGTGTGTGTATTTCATCTCAAAGTTCAAAGAGCTGCCACAGGGTCCCTCAAAACGTGGGACCTTGCACCCAGAATACAAGGGTGGCATCATAATTGTGCGGTGTCCCCTGCCCCACACTGCCCCCGTATTTTCCTTTCCCTCTGCCTAGGCCTCTCCAGCATGCTGCACTGGAATGCACCAGGGCTCTCCCTCTGTCTGTCTCCCTCTCTCTCTTTCAGTGGTGGGGGATGAACTAGTCCACGGACACGCACACCTATGGCGGCTTTCACACACGTATTGAACCGCAAACACCCCACTCTGCCAGGCAGGATCTATTATCTAGTGCTTCCTCCCACCTTCCACAGACAGCACACCACCCTTTGCGAGCACTCCCATGAAATCATGATTCCTAAGCACTGCTCACTCTGTGACCTGGGCACTTAGGAGAAAGAGGATGCACTGGGTCCTTCAGGTCAGTGTATACCCACCGAAGGGTAAACACCCAGGAGGGACTCTGGACAGGAAGCATTCCCACTGGTGATGCTGTCCTGAGCCTCGTCACTCTTGTCTCCAGCCAACACAAACACATCTTTTCCCGAGCTTGCTAGCGTAATGTATCACTCAGCCTTGAGGCCGCTGTGACAGCCTATCCGGTATGAATGGCATACGGGGCACAATCCACGTTAGCCCCTGTTTGCAGATGTATTGGTCTATATTCCCGGCTTTGATGCTTCTGGTGCTGTACTGAAACCTGTGATCACGGCGCAGGGAGTGACAGAGTGTCTCTGCTCACTGAAGAGGAAGGGAGGGTGGAGGATATAACCATCAAAGACACACCTTTGGGGACCTGCTTTCCCAGCCAGACCCCACCTCCCAGTCTCGGCCAACTCTCAAAATGGCACTACCAGCTGGGGACCAAGGACTCAGGAGCAGTAGGGGCTTTCACAAGTCACATACAACACCCGGCATGATCTTTCTTCCCTCCCAGCTGCTTGGGTTATAGTTTTCTTCCACCACAACTCTATAGACTGTTTTCTCTCAAATGGTGGGCTAACTCTGTCTCCAGAAGAGATTGCCAGAAGACCAGGCTCAAGGGGATCCCAAAGACATTGCTTAGGTAAACTGAGGGCAAAGCAGGTTTGCCAGGGCCACTGTGAGGATTGGATCCTTACAGCACAAGGACTGCAGCCACAAACAGCCACTGCACACGTTAGCTCCTCGTGATGGGGGTGGGGCACCCTTGTGCACACCTCGCCAGACGCTGACAGTCCAGTGACATTAGCAATGGAGCTCCCACTCTCTAGCTGAGCAATCGGAGACTTGCTGAAGTAGCTAGTCCAGAATGGCATTGCAAGTTGCAATTAGAATCACAAAAGTGTAACACCAAATTGAAAATCATACTGCTGGCCACATATTAAACATTTGGAGATGACCCAGGATAGCCATCCTTTGCATTTGAGAAGATACCCAAGCCAATATCAATTCTTATACCAAACGTGGTTGTGGGGGGCATTGGCCTCAAGCCAGGAGGGGTCATCAGAACATCAACCAAGGAGCCAAGGCCAAGAGGGACATGACACTAGCTAATGTGACCTTCCAAGGAAAAGTGCCCATCAGTCCTCCTTCCTGTTGGTCACCAAGTAGGTGGGTACCCAAGGGACGCTGCATCAGCGTGGGAAATGAAGAACAGGGACCAGGGCTTGAGAAGATTTGGAGACAACAATAACTTTATAAGCAGCAGTCCTTAACTCTATGCTTACTCCTAATTCACCACTAAGTCTGTTCTTAAGGCCCCATGGGCACATCTCTGTGGCAGATTCCATGGGGAAACAGTCAGGGAAACTGACTTCCAGGTTGCACTGCAGGCCAGTCCCCATCATCAATGGAATGCCATGTTATGACATCCAGCAGAGAGCTGGGACAGGCTGGCACTGTCCTCAAGTACCAAGCCTCTGCATTTCCAAGAATTCCTCAAGTTTGCTACAAAACACAAAATTATATAAATTTACAATTGAATGAATTGTGTTTAAAAAAAAAACAAACATTTGAAAAGCATTTAAAAATCATCTCTTCCTAATTGTCTCACTATGTTTGATAATTACCTGTATTCTTGGAGCTACAGACACCTGTTGTTGTATCTGTGTGGTAGCACATCCCTTCCCAGCTCCATATTCACTGACAGCAAGTTAGGAATTTGAAAGCAGTCTTGGTGGGAAAATTAACACCATAGAAACTGGCATAGTCTACAAATGGTGACTGAAGTTTCTCTGGACAACGGAGCAAATGAGAGATGATTGTGAGAGATGATGGAGAAGGTAGGTCTTTTCAGCTGACTTGACTCCAAGGGTTCTCTTTGTCCACGTTATCTACAGGGAGAAGACAAGATTTCTGTCATGGAAAATGGCTTGAATGGGTACATAAGGTCCTTGTAAGCAGCCTAACTGGATGTCTGGTGTGAGGAGACTGGGAGAGGTGTCTCTTTGGTCTGAGCGCTGAATGTGTGAATGCTCCTGTCCGAGTGATTGCTCACCAGTGGCCTTCATTGTGGAGGATGGTCTTGGACATCTGAAAGACAAGACCCTGCCACTCATGAAGAGTGCTCTGAACATCTTGCCTCACTGTGAGTCACAGGTGCTGTGGGATGGTCTGTATGTCAAATGTGTTGCTCTGATTGGTCAATAAATAAAACACTGATTGGCCAGTGGCCAGGCAGGAAGTATAGGCGGGACTAACAGAGAGGAGAACTGAGAGAACAGGAAGGTGGAGGGAGACACTGCCAGCCGCCACCATGACAAGCAGCATGTGAAGATGCCGGTAAGCCAGGAGCCACGTTGCAAGGTATAGATTTATAGAAATGGATTAATTTAAGATGTAAGAACTAGATAGCTAGAAGCCTGAGCCATTAGGCCAAACAGTTTAAATAATATAAGCATCTGTGTGTTTATTTTATAAGTGGGCTGTCGGACTACCAGGGCTTGGCGGGACCCAGAGAGAAAACTCTCCAGATACACACAGGTTTCTGGGGAGAGGAGGAATCAAGTTGTGGAGACTTTCAGCCATTCATCTTGTCCAGAAACAATACTGAGACCCAGTGAGTGTGCTGTCTAGTTTTATGTCCACTGGAATCATCTGGGAAGAGGGGACCTCAACTGAGAAAATACTTCCACCCGACCTGTAAGCAAGCCTGTGGGGCATGTTCTTGACTGATGGTTGATGTAGGTGGGCCCCTCTGTGGGTACTCCGTCCCAACCATGGTCGGTACCACCTCTGGTTGGGTATAGCCTCTCTGGAGGCTCCTGGCACCAGGACCAGAATGAAGTTCTTGATGGAATGATTGTGATCTGGCCCATGATCCCATGCTGAGTGACCTTTGGAAAATTACCTGCCTCCCAGAGACACACCGGGATCTCTTGGGATCAGCCATAACACAAGATCACCCAAGGCCAATGTTGCATCTATTTGTCCTGGGCTGTCTAAGCATGCCTAGTTGATGGATAGGGGGGAATGAATCCACTAAGTATGACAGAAAGTGAAGGCCTCTGGCATGCAGATGGAAGGGATATTTAGCATCTTGGCCAGGGTGCCCAGGGAGCAAGCATCCTTCCTACAGCAGCAACCCAGCATGGTGACCACATCATCCTGACTCTGTCCCTGGTGTGTGTTCCTCTCCACAGGATTCCATCTCCAACTCAGAGGCTTCAAATAAACACTAATTTTCATCACAACTTTCTGGGTTGGAAATTTGGGAAGGACATTCCTAGGAAGTGTGTCTCTGAGCTATCAACAAGATGCCTCAGCTTCTTTGAGTTGCTTCCTGTCTCTGCATCCCAGGGAACTCCACAAGACTGGGATCTTTACAGAAGGGAGATTCCAGGTGGCCATCTTACAACTCAGTGGCTTAGCCAGGTAATAGTGGCCTTTAATCCCAGGAGAGTGAGGCAGGTGGGCAGATCTCTGAGTTAGAGGCCAGCCTGATCTACAGATCAAGTGCCAGAACAGTCAGGGCTACACAGGAAAACCTTGTCTCAAAAACAAACAAACAAACAAACAAAAAACACAGTAGCTTCCATAGGACAAGAAACTGAAGCCGCTTAGTCAACTGAAACACGGGAAATGAGCAATCGCTTGCTGAGCTGTGAGCTCCGTGCAGTCAGGGGCAGAGGAGACACTACCACAAAATCATGGCAAGTCTGAGTTGCAGAAGGAACATGCCCAAATCCAGCAGCCTGATCTGCGACCCCTCGAGTCTGACTGTATCAGTCACTGTCTTAAGGTCCTGTTGCTGGGATCAAACACCGTGACTAAGAGCAACTTAGAGAAGAGACAATCTGTTTCAACTCACACTTCTACATCACAGTCCAGCACTGAGGGATGTCAGGGCAGGAATTCAAACAGGGCAGGAACCTGGAGGCAGGGGTTGATACAGGGGCCATGTATCAACCCCTGCCTCCAGGTTTGCTCCCCATGGCTGGCTCAGCCTGCTTTCTTATAGAGCCCAGATCACCTGCCCAGGGTGGGACCTCCACAGTGAGCTGGGGCTCCCACATCAACCAACAGTCAAGAAAATACCCCCACAGGTTTGTCTACAGGTCAGTCTAGTGGGAGCGTTTTCTCAGTTTAGGATCCGTTTTCTCGGACGACTCTAGTTTGTATCGAGTAAACATATGACTAGCCAGCACGGTTAACTTTCTGTTGCCGTGGTAAAATATGCTGGCAAAAGGTGACTTAAAGAAGAACGTGTCCATTTCAGCTCAGCGTTCCAGAGGGACACAGTCCATCCTGGTAGGCAAGGCATGACAGGGGAGCAGGAAGCTGGAGGATCACATTTTCATCCTCACACAGGAAGCAGAGAGAGAACAGGAAGTGGGGACGGGCTGTGGAACCTCAAAGACCAGCCACAGGGACGCGCTTCCGCCCACAAAGTTCCACCTCCTAAAGGTTACAGAACATTCACAAACGGCACCCATAAGTGTTCAAACACATGAGCCTGCAGGGGAAATTTTATATCAAGACCACAACGTTGGTGTCTTTGAACTTTTTCTCACCATTCATGCTTTGTAGGAAGGAATTTGAGGCAAAGAAGTCACCCTGACTGGAGAACTGTGGGTGACAAATCGTTGTTCTTCTGAGCCTCTGGCACACAGAGGAGCATCTTGGCTGTGAAGCCTCCAGATGTGGACCACTAGGCTGTGTGCTTTGAAGACATCAGCACCTGGGAACCCCCAGACCTGCCAAGCTGGGTTTAATTATTCCCCATTGCTACGAGGAGACTGGTGTACAGAAAGTTCTGGTAACCTGCCCTAGAAAGTCTTACAGATGGGGAGCCTGAACTCCATTCTTAGGTCTACTCACAGGAACACAGGCTGTCCTCACCACGTATGTTCAGCCCCTACAATGTCTAAAACTAAAATCCCCATGTGATCCCCTAACTAGCAGATTTTTCAAGAAACCTTGAAGGGCAACAGTTTATCTATAAAACATTCAGATTTGGAACAGTTTCTATAAATCAGAATGTCTGTCAATCTCATCTGTCACCACCAATTAAGAGTGTCAGCACTGATTAAGACAGAGTGATCTGCAAACAGCCGCCTCCGATTATTCCATTAGCAGCTCCTGTGAGCTGGTCACAACCCCTGAGATGGGCGGCTTGGACGTGATTCAAAGTTACCCTTTCCACTCTAAAGTTAGCTCGTGTGCCCCTGACATTAAGGAGATTGTTCATGGTAGGCCAGGAGAGACGAGAATCTAATGGAACTAAAGATCAGGCCTCTGGTTCTGGAAGGAGTGTGCCCTGAGAGACAGACCATCTACCCACCTCTGCAGAGATGCACCACAGTGGAGTTGTTGAAACACCCAAGGGCTCCCATTCCATCACAGAGTTCAGTCCAGGTGCCCTCAGGTCCCAGGTACAGTGGGACACAGCAGGACACAGCAAACCTCTGAAGACCCAGGGTGGGCCAGGGCTGGGGTGCAGGCAGGATGGCTCCATTCCTCCTCTGAGGCCGGGCTGGGGCGTTGGGCTGTCACAGCCTTCACGGATGTCCTCTTGGTGTATTTTGAAAAGATTCCTGAGAACGAAGGGAAGAGAGAGGCTGATAAAGGCCAATGGCCACATCAGGAAATGGGTACCAAAGAAGGTATTCCCCAGAATAGCAAACTGAGTGAGGGGGAGAGGAGACCCTCCCCCCAAAGTGGGTAGCATGTCACACCTGCGACCCAGGTATAAGGAGGTCCCAGGGAAAAGCTGTTGGTTTTCACTGACTTTCCTTTGCCACTTGCTGGTGAGTGCATCTGCTCTGCCCATGCCCATGCCCATGCCCATGCCCATGCTGCTCCTTGATGACATCTGAGCTCAGCTTCTTTAGACTTCTAACATGGACTAAAGACCACTGGCTCCCCCGGGCATCCTCCAGGCCTCCAGGCTGGATTGGAGCTGCTGAGGCAAACAACCTCACAGACTGGGACCCTCCCCAGTGTGCAGTAGCCACTGTTGGACCACCCATACTGTATCAGACACTACTCAGCCCCCTGGATGGGCTTTTTTAATATTTTAGATTTCATTTTTATTTTATGTGTATGGGTGTTTTGTCTGCCTCATGGACCTATGTACATCACATGCATGCAGTACCCATAGATGCCAGGAGAGGGCATAAGAGCCCTTGAAAGTGGAGTTAAATGTGGTTGTGAGCCACCATGTGGGTGCTGAGAATCAAACTCAGGTCCTCTGCAAGAACAGAATGCCCTTCACTGCTGAGCCATCTCTCCAGACATTAGTAAATCACTTTTTATTATATATTTATCCTATTGGTCTACTCCTCTAGAGAACCCTGACTAATACAGCTTGAAAACCCTGCATTCCATTAAATTACTAGGAAATGTGTTGGTTTGAGGCCCCACAAAACTATGCCTCATTGGAGTGACAGTTTTCAGAAAAGTCTTTTCCACCGTCCCAGAGAAACAACAATGGCTGCTCCTACTTCCCGTAGCCACTCCCACTACACTGACTTTCTAAGCCAGAGAAGAGGGTCTGTCCCCAAGTCAGATCCTGGGAAGACTCTACAGCAAGCCGCAGCGGAAGGCCCTGCTTATTGTACTAGGTAAACAAGTAATTCATTTACGGAACAGAGCTGTTTTCATTTGCCTCCTTTTCTGGGCAGTTCAGCGCTGTGAAAGCAGAGGGCTCAGCCTTCCACTCCCTTCTAATGTAGGAAGCATCTGCTCCCCTCTCAGCTCCCTCGGTGGGGCAGGATTGGCTTCTGGTTGCATCTGTTTTGTTGTCTGTGAATGTACCATCAGTCGCCTGAGAGCCTTGGCAGGTGGGTGGGGGAGCATCCCTCAACAGAACAGAGTGCCTTGCCATGGAGAAGTCCTGCTCACCAAAAAAGCAGTCAGTGCTAACTATGGTGATAGTCACAGCCCGCTGTTCCCACCTCACACACAGGTAGAACCAGGCGCTTTCTGTAGGTTGTGTCAAGTCCCCCAGAAATGTATGCAATTCCCAAACCCTGATAACTGTGGATATGATCTGATATGAATAAGGATTGAAGGTATAAACTAGGAATAATATATTCCAGAATATGATGGGCATAACCAATAGAACTATCCTCCTTATACAGAGAGGAAAGGTGTGGCAGGCAGTAAGTGATGCAACGTGGAGACAGACAGTCATGGAGGACACCCAGGGAGGACTCCCAGGGAGGACATGCAGGAAAGACATCAGGGAGGACACCCAAGGAAGACAACCAGGGGACCAGAGGCTGAGAATAAAGAGCGTACCTGCAAACTAAGCCAATCCCAGAAGAAACAGGGAGAGGTTGGCCCAATCCACAACTTGATAGTTTTACAGTCACCCAGCACATACCACGCTTGGCTGTCCATGATCCCCAGCAGAGTATTGCTAAAAGCTTCTGCTTGCCAGGCAGTGGTGGCGCACGCCTTTAATCACAGCACTCAGGTGGCAGAGGCAGGTGGATCTCTGTGAGTTCGAGGCCAGCCTGGTCTACAGAGAGAGTTCTAGGACAGGCTCCAAAGCTACAGAGAGAAACCCTGTCTGGAAACACACACACACACACACACACACACACACACACACACACACACACACACACACACATATCTTAAATCCCTAACCTCCAGGACATCAGAGGGTGGCTTTATTTGGAAAGCTGGATGCATCAGGGTCCTCAGAGCTCATTGGTCAGCCTGTCTAGCCAAATCAAAGAGCTCTGGGTTCAATGAGAGAAATTCCTGTCTCAAAGGAATACAATAATGGACAATGATAGAAGACAGACAACATCAATGGGGGGGGGCGGAGAGGGAATGGCCAACAACTAGCCAAAGACTAAAGGTTGGACCAGATCACCCTCACAGACTCAGAAGGAGCCAGCCCTTCGACCATCTTGATCTTGGCCTTCCGGCCCCATCCCCGGGAAACAGCGCCTTCCTGTTGTGTGTGGTACTTGTTTGCCACAGGGGCCCTAGCAGACTAAAGCTCCCCCAGACTGGGCTGTTTAATACGTTCTCTGTTGTAATCTAGCCCCGTGTGGACGGGCTCTTTTGATATTTTCATCACTGCCATTCCCCAAAGGTCTGGAACGCTGTCTAGTGTGAAGCAAATGCTCAATAATCCTTTTTAAATAAAGGACACAGGGTCAGACGCCTGAGTTTGAACCAACACTGGCTACTCAACTGCCCTAGTGTGCTGAGAGGAAATATATATAAAAGTAATTGAATATTTAAAAGCAATTACGATGAATAAAAAAATTACTCCAGTATTCTTAAAAGAGGAATCTGAAGACTGAAGGTTGGAACAGATCTCCCTCACAGCCTCAGAAGGACCCAGTCCTTCGGCCACCTTGATCTTGGCCTTCTGGGCCCGTCACCCCTCTGACCCTGAGGGCAAGAGAATGAAAGGGGAGGAAAAAGCCCAGCTACACAAAGGGATGGCTCTTCTCAGCCAGAGGCCATGGGGCAACCAAGTGGAGCCCATAAGACCCATAGCAACTAGAACCTTTCCATAGCTCTCCCCTGATTGGCCCCATTTTAAAACTTATTTGCATGGCTACATCCAGCCAATCAGGGCCCAGCTAACAGTGCTGATGTTCTGTGGCTCCAAGAACAGAAAACCCAACAAGAGCTCACCTGAGGAGGAAGAAGGCTGATGAGGGACTCCCACACCCAAGGCTTCCGTCCCAGGTCCTAGCGGGGAGTTCACTGAGGCACCTCCAGGACTCAACCAGAGACTACAACCACGGGGACTCATTCCTGCTACTCTCTACAGACCTGCTTTGCAAGGGAACATCTCATTTGACACCCCAAGGCCTCCTATAGCACCAGGCTACACCTGCCACCCCTGGGCTAGGCACCCCAAGGCCTCAGATAGCACGGAGCTATAAAACCTCTGCTACCTCTAAGCTAGGCCAAGACCTCAGATAGCATAGGGCTACTACAGCTGCCACCCCTAGGCTAAGCACCCCAAGGCCTCAGATAGCATAGAGATATCACATTGGCCACCTCTGAGCTAGGCACCCAAGCCTGCCGAGGACTGAGCAAGAACACTACCAACTTCCCTCCATCGGCACACTCCCTTGCTACCAAGGGTGTAGGAGTTCTTACCTTCCCATCCAAACTGTTATTCCCTTATGCAAATAAAGTTACTCTTGACTTGCCTTTGGTGTCTTTCCACCCCATTCTTGGAGAGAGGACAAATAAGAACCTGGTTGGAGACAGGAGATGGTCTCCATCTTGTGACCACTTCAGTATAACCCATACACAGAGGTGAAAGGAAGCAAAAACTCTCTCCAAAGAGGCCCTGGTGTTCAGTTTAACAGACTCAAATATAAATTAGGGACTGGAGAGTTGGCTCGATGGTTAAGAACTGTTGTTATTCTTGAAGAGGACCCAGGTTCAATTCCCAGCATGCACATAGTAACTCCATGTCCCAAAGAATCTGATGGCCATTTCTGACCTCCACAGTCACCAGCCATACATGTGGTGCATGTATGTTTATGTATGTACACAGGCAGACACAAACAAAACACTCATATGCACAAAATAATAAAATAAATCGCATATATATTACTGATGGTGGTTTGACTAGGAATAGCCCTCATAGGCCTCATGTATCTGAATGCTTGGTCATTAGAGAATGGCGATGCTTGAGAGGGACTAGGAGGTGTGGCCTTGTTGGAGGAAGTGTGTGGTGATATTGTGTTCCCCAAAATATTGTGCACCCTAATAAACTTATCTGGGGTCAGAGAACAGAACAGCCACTAGATACAGAGGCCAGAAAATGGTGGCACACACGCCTTAATCCTATCACTTGGGAGGCAGAGATCTGTGAGTTTAAAGCCACACTGGAAACAGCCAGGCATGGTGACTCACGCCTTTAATCCCAGGAAGTGATGGCAGAAAGCAGAAAGGTATATAAGGCGTGAGGACCAGGAATTAGAGCTGGTTAAGCTTTTAGGTTTTTGAGTAGCAGTTCAGCTGAGATTCATTCTGGATGAGGACTCAAAGACTTCCAGTCTGAGGAAACAGGATCAGCTGAGGAATTGGCAAGATGAGGTGACTGTGGCTTGCTCTGCTTCTTTGATCTTTCAGCGTTCACCCCAATATCTGGCTTTCAGGTTTGTTTCTATTAATAAGACCTTTTAAGATTCATGCTACAGAAGTGTGTCACTGGGAGTGGGCGTTGCGGTTTCAAGAGCCCAAGCCAGGCCCAGTGTCTCTCTCTTTTCCTCTGCCTGTGGATCAGGATGCAGCTCTCAGCTACTGCTCCAGTGCCTGCCTGCATGCTGCCTTGTTGCCCACCATGATGATAATAGAATAAGCCTTTGAAACTTTAACCAAGCCCCCAACTAAATGCTTTCTTTCATAAGAGTTGCCTTGATCATGTTACTTGCTGTTTGCAAGGACCTAGGCACAATTCCCAGAAAGAGAGAGACAGAGAGACAGAGACAGAGACAGACAGAGACACACACACACACAGAGTGGAGGGAGAGAAAGACACAAGAAGAGGGTAATATTCTGGAACTGAAAAAGTACAAAAGCTGCCATTTCT